TCTCGCGAGCCTCTTCGTTCAATGCGCGACCATTTGATGTGCAGAGGAGTCATCAAATGTATCGTGATTGTGATTCCCTCTAATGACTGTAAAGTGCCAGCGCTCATCTATGCGTTGAATGACAGCTTCAAAACGGCACCTAGTGCTTCTACTAGCCCTTATGCGCTTGATGGTTCTCGTTTCTGGTACTTCGTTAACAGCAACTGGCTTGTATTTATTTCCCTGTGAATACCATAGAATAATACGTATATTGCGCCACCTTTCCTATTACCCACCTTCTTGGTACGCTTGATCGTTAGGACATAGCCTTGAGCTCTAGTATGTTCATTAAGTGCCTTTCGGGCTTCCTCTAGCGTATCGTATGTAGTTTCAGGAGGAGGTAGCAGAGCCATATGAGAATGACAGACTACGGTGTTTAAGCGCTAAATGAAATTATTCAACAATTAAAAAAAATAGCGTGTAAGCGATTACATGATGCAATCGTTGTGTTGGAATTGGCTTTTAGTATTTAGCAATATGACATTTTATTTATAATCAATCAAAAATATGGAAGGTATATATATTACGGTAATATATAGGGGGTGGGGGGTGGTTAACGAAAACCTGGGGGGTGGTTAACGTTTCCCTATTAGTATGACACTCTGCTATTTAAAAAGAATGCAGTCTTTAATTGCGACACAACGGCTCCTGCAATGGCGTGAATGGGAGCCAACGGCGCGACAGCGAAATCTGCAGCGGCGGAAACTGAGTCTGTGATATCTGCAGCGATTATATTGCAGCGTCACCGGAAGAGGCAGTGTCTGCGTAGGCGGGATTAACCGTGTCGTTACGTTAAAGAGAGGGATGGTACGAAAACAGCGGTTTTCCTAAGTGCGCGAGTCGCGGTAGCGGCATATGGAATGCTTTTGAAGAGATGCACACGTATTTGGCTTGGTCGGGCTTAATCATTTCACGTGAGGGACACTGAACGGTCATGGCAAATTGAATGGCAGTGGTAGCAGGTGTGGCGAGTGATCTTCCGCTTCACTCGCTCGGATCCAGGCGGATGGCACTTCGTGGATTTCTGGTGCGGCTGCTTTTAAGGATATGTTTTATGGGGGCGGAAGGGAGGTAAGATACCAGAATCTCAAGCTCGGGAGTATTTTCATCCCTGTCGATATCCAATTTTCATTGTTTAATCAATGCACTAAGTTCAATGGATTGTCCTGTGTATATGTGACAGCATAATAACGTATGCACATTGGATCTCCTGTACTCTTGAGTAGTAGCCAGTGCACTTCTTACGGTTATCCGGATCAAAGGTTAGCATAAATTGCTTTCTTAAAAGCACCAAAGCGTATTGTGATGTCTTGCGACAAATTCTCGAAATATCCCACCGGATATGTTTGTACGTATCTTGCATCTTCCCTTTGCCATCATTTCGCTCATTTTCTTGTTATTGGGTTCAACACCCCTTAACATTATCTCTTAGACGTCAAGAAGTGTTTTGCTCGCGCTGTTGAGCCCACTTTTTATGTTTGCGAGACTCGCACCCCGCTTTTGAGGTGATTGTGTGTCCAGAATGTTGAAATCGGTCAATGATGAATGAAGCTTGTGGAAGAGGTAATTCGTTCTTGTCGAGGTATGCTATTTATTGTTGTCCTATACAAAAACGAATTATCAAAAACACATTATAATTAAAACACAACTATCAGTCAAACAAACTATAAATCGTGCGATATTAAGTCACTGCAATAGTTGGGAGCTGTTACCAAAGCTGCATAAACGATTCTTTTGTAGGAGCATGTGCAAAAGCATTTCAGTGGTCCATGAAAGCTAGCCATCTGTCTTCACCGGCATAAAAAAAAATTTGGCAGCAGGTAACTATAATCCTCGCAAAATTACATTGACAGAATATGAAAAATGCGCATGTATATTTCTTAGTGTTTGCCGTAATGAGGCCAACGTCGCAATCAACAACGAAAATCTTTAGAACCTAAAAAGTAATATAGTCGATCTCATTTATCATTCATGTGTGGTAAAGCGAGTATTTAGAAATGACGGATTTAAGGGTTGATGATATTAAAGGACATGGGACCTCGCGGCCGATAATGGGACCGGAGACTTGAGGGTCACAGGTAGAGCGGCTGTTGGGTTCAACTGTGACGAGCAGTTAAGCTTACCGCCAACGGGGTCAAACCAACCAACGTTTGAGTTAAACGGTACAAAAATAAATCGTTCTCAACCACTCGTCCATCGGCCTGGTCGCCCCCGGTGGACCTCAATCCCCCGTAGGTTGACCTGGCCTGGCAGCCTGGTCGCCTAAGGTGGGCCTCGGTCACCCGTAGGCCGACTTGATCACCCTTCAGCAAACCTGTACACCCATGGGTCGACTTGAACTCTCAAGTTCTGGTAGCTCCTGGCCACTCATCATTGCGAACCCAGGTGCAAGGCAAAAAATATAGTAGGTGTGTTTAAATGATAGGACGATGTCAAATACTACTCAAATTGCGATCGACGTAGCACGACGTGTCATGCACTAAAGAAACTTGTAAGTCTACTGACATTTCCAGGTCATACTTCTGTTTACACCACCTGTCGAATAGACATTTTCAGTATGGCACAATTTAAGTAAAACCCCAGGAAGTATATATTGGTCTGTGGGTTCGCAGAGTAGCACCCCCCTCCCCCAGCTCAAGCCCGCTATAGGAAGCAATCTCCGTACCCTAGTGGTAACGGAGAAGACATGTAAATGCCAGGCGGTAAACACCTCTGAGACAAGTAAGTCCAGGCTCTACCAGCACCTGAGACAACTGGTTATAAGACCACTCTCGACCAAGTCGATCGAGGGGCCGCCTATGTTGGACCCCGACTGAAGCATACCCGCTCGGGGTCCACCACGTCCACCTCCATCAAGGCCGACGTCTACGTCATCACCAATTTCTCCGAAGAGTGAGCCCGCCAAGCCGACGGGTACACAAGGTGAGTCAAGGTCCACAAGCGGCATTGGGGTGCCCCCTCCGACAGTCGGCAGTCTGGTAAAGTGAGCATTTTGGTGTCTCGTCAAAAGGTTTTGACAACCCACACCACCACAAATACACATTCGATTAAGCTCGTTGATCTACGGATTCAAATGCAGCACTTCAATTCTGGTTTGTACACGCCTATCCGACCACGTGCAGGAGCGGGAGGCTGTAAGCAATTCGTCTTGTACGGGTAAATAATAGCGTAATTGTAAAATTGGCGGATAAATGACACCAAATTTTGTGGTCGCCAAAAGAGATGCCGGACGTGATTTTCTTTGTCCACCGCAACCGTAGCATTATTATATATTAGTTTTTAGCATTATTATGTTGGTCCTTCAAGTTCCATCAACGCCTACTGTGAGGTTTACCACTCAGGTCCTTCAAGATCGCCTTTTGATTTATATTCGGTGCATCACTAGCCTTGATCAGGAAGTTCATCTACTTCAAATGATTTATATAATTTCGCCGAGGAAACAGTTAGTGTAACGGGGCACCCTGAAGCTTGTACTGGTGACAGTACAAGCTACTTATTCTGATAACAGAATAAGGCGGTGCCTCGTAACTTCACGTACACTCGTACGTGCAGAGGAAGACGGTAAGAAGAAGCGAGTACTCGGTTAGAGTAAAAAGTAGAACTGTATTTATAATAGTTAATGTCTGCAATAAATCACTATTTATCTTCATCTAACTATGTCTAAATACAAATGTGTAAATCAGTTATCTGCTCACCACTCATTGCGTGCGTCTGTCGTGGCGCGTCTTCGTTGGTTGATATAATGGCCTATATCAACCAATTAGGAACTACTTGGAAGTGCTACAGAATATTGTCCTTATGACAATATTCTGAGAATATAACTCTTATAGTTATATTCTATTAACAATTTCTTATAAATTGTTATGTAACGATTCACCCCGTTACATCACCCCCCTTAACCATCAGTCACTTTAGTGACTGATTGACTAAATGGATACTCGTCCCAAATCATTTGGGACGGGGTTTGCACTTGTTGGTCCGCGTCCACTTTCCAACATCTCATCGCATGGTAAACAAGCCCATGCGATGCGCGAGCAAGGCCGCCGAGAGCGCGTCTGCACGTCTCTGTGCGGACGCCGAAGCAGAAACCACAGCAACTGATGTCCCATCGGTTGCTGAAGAGACCCAGCCTGTGTCACTTGGTGACGCAGGCGCTGGTCATGAAGACACTCGTGTCTTCACAGAGTACGAGCTCGGTGTCTCGTACTCTCCTGATACGGATGACGGATCCGTATCGACGGCAATTGAATCCAAGCCGCCTGCCAAGCGTGGCATGGACGATGCTTTGCGTCGCAGCATCTTTGGTTCATCTGATGAGTCAGATGAACCATCGCCGAAGCGAAGGCGCTCGAGGTCGCGAGACTCGGGCGCTAATAGTGGTGTCGGTTCTCCAATGGACACCACTTCACAGCGAGGTGCCAGTACTTCTGTCGGCACGTCGCAGGAAGAGCGGGACCGCAATGTGTTGCGTCTCGCTCCAGAAAAGAAGGCATGGATGCCTCCAAAATCTCGTCATGGATCACTTGTCGGCGACGACGAGTGATCGTTATCGAACACGATTGTTCGATTCGTCAAGGATCCATCACCTTGACCCCAGCGCGAAAGACTATCGCGCTGAACATGAGTTCTTCATCGATGCTTTCTTCAGACATCGATGGTACAGTGGGAATCACAAACGTGATGGTCCCTCACTACTTCAGGCGTGGAACGCCTACATCCATAACCTCGAGGATGTAGGTCGTGACGCTTGGAACGACAAACTTATCAAAGCTCGTGATAAGTTTGAAAAGCGAACCCCGACAGGTGCACGCTACAAGCTGCATCGTCTGTCAAGGGAGAAAGGATTACCCTGCCTCTCTTGGGGAGACTCGTGCCCATGTTGTGTGAACAACTCTGCACGAGCACCTAAGGAGGCTTACCTCCTTACCAGCCCGTGGTGGCGCGTACGTGTCTCTACTGAGATGTACGAAGGGATTGACAACCTGAAATCCCTTTACGACCGTGCCGGGAAGACTTTCTCCGGCGGTCCTTCTGCGGCACAGGATGTGCCGCGTCGTACTGCTCGACCAGACCCAGTACGTCAACCATCAATTGGGAGCGGGGCTCCCAAGAATCCCAGGACGGGGGATAGCCGCGCCACCGGACGAGATAACTCGTCCGACGTCCGTTCACGTCGCGGTGGTTCAACAGCTGCTCTACTAGATAGCGCTGGCCACCGCGAGAGTCCTCTAATGGAGGTGGAGGAGGAGGAAAGACGCTCTCCACACGATCATGTGGATCGGTGTGTTCCCGAGAGCTTCTTTGATCGCGTAACGCAAGGGTTACGCGACGATCTCGAGCATGAGCGGAATAGGCGTCTCCAGATGGTGGACACTGCCTCGAAGCATCGAGCTGAGTTTGCCTTTGCTCAGCTTGAGAACGAGAGATCTCTGACATCTTTCGTGACGAGCTAAGGGTAGCTCGTGGGATTGTTGATCGGTCTCGGGCTGAGATAACTGCTCTTCAGACCCTTGTTGATGCCCACCATCGGGAGCACAAGGCTCTCTGCGAGATGCTTGAGCGCAAGGGCGTTCTTCATCGGAAGAAGCAGCGTACTGATGGTACGGCTTAAGCCGACCAACGTAAAACGTGGGATGCGTTCGCATCTTACGTGGTAACTCGATCGTGTATGCATTGCCTAGGCGGTGCAATACACGAAATGGGCCAATGTACTTGGGTAGTAGTTTACTGCTACCCAAGTTAGTCACTACATGTTTTGGTAGATTAACCGTAGACAGTAGGACTAAGTCACCTTTATTAAATAAAAGAGTGTTTGCCCTTCCATTCTTGTCAGCGTTTTGCTTTTTGCTTATCCACCGCTTCGGCGATGGAGTCTTGCACAAAACGGACTACCGTTTCACGAGCCAGTATGAACTCATCTGATGACTCGTTAGCTTCAGTGTGCTGTGAGCGCACTGCAGCGACAACAACCTTTTCTTCAGTGAGGGCTTCCGCACTCTCACTGGGATCATTGTCTTCAGTGAGGGCTTCCGCACTCTCACTGGCATCATCTTCTTCGATATCGATGTTATCGATATCGGCATCAAACGCAATGACTTCTTCGTCAGAGCGTGATGAGCGTGAACCAAATCGGTTTTTGCTCGCGCGAGTCCCTCCCCCCTTAAACCAGAGTTACACTCTAGTAAGGTGGGTACACGCGGATGGCGCAAGCCATTCACGTAAAACGGTGTATGTGTCGTGGACGCATGCACCGAGTTGTTGATGGCAAACTCTACCATCGGCAAAAACTCACTCCAACTCTTAAAGGAGTGTACGTATCCTCGAAGTATCTCTTCAAGGACACGATTGGCACGTTCCGTCTGACCATCTGACTCTGGATGATCAGATGTTGACATCTTCAAGCGCGTTCCGAGTGATTTGAACACGGAACGCCAGAAATCAGCAGTGAATCGTGGATCTCTGTCTGATACGAGTTCACGGGGCAACCCATGAAGTCGGAAGATGGTGTCAATAAAGACACAAGCACAGCCACTTGCCGTGATTGTCTCTGGTACAGCCACAAGGTGTACCATTTTGCTGAATCTGTCAACAAATACGAGAATACCCGTATTCCCGCGTGCGTCTTTGGGTAACCCGAAGACGAAATCCATTGAGATGGATTCCCAGCACTCAGCCGGAACCGGTAGAGGCTGTAAAGGTGCACGCAGTGAAGGACTTGACTTCACTCGTTGGCAGACTCGCATGCGCGAACATACTTTCGCACAAACTGATACTGGCGGGGCCAGTAAAAGTCTCGACTTACCGTGAGATATGTTTTCTCTCGGCCACGATGTCCTCCTATAGGAGCATCGTGATACTCGAACATGATCCGCAAACGCAGATCAATATCATCTGGAATGACAACACGTGGTGTGTCACCAGAAACGGCTGTATAGTACAGTAAACCGTTACGAGTAGTGTATCGATCTGATGCAGATCGATACGCAGACGACAATCGTTTCAACGATTCTCGAGATGGTTGGGAGAGATGTGACAACAACTTCACTATCTCACCATCTTGGGCGTATGCCCGCCTCACATCATCATACAACGTTGTAGATGGAACTGAGGACGTCATAACCGCAACAGTGACTGTCTCACTGTTGGGTTTCGCGACTGTTTCAAAGTCGGGACGACGTGAGAGTGCATCAGCGACGACATTAAGTCGTCCTGGTTTGTACTCGACCGTAAAGTTGTATTCTGCAAAGAATGACAACCACCGCGCCATTCGTTGTGAAAGGTGCGGGCTGTTCACTGCCGTGCGTAAGGACGCATGGTCAGTGTAAACAACGAAGGGTCTATCTCCTAATAGATAGACTCTGAACTTCGCGAGTGCATACTTCATGGCAAGGAGTTCCTTGTCATGCACTGGATAGTTCCGCTCAGCTGGTTGCAGCTGACGCGACTGATAGCAGACGACGCGTTCAACGCCTTCAAGGTCGTACTGCATTAATGCACAGCCGATTGCGAAATCGCTGGCATCACAGACCACATGAAATGGCCTGTCCTGATCGGCTATTGCTAGGACTGGGGATTGTATCAAGCTCTGCTTGATACCCTCAAAGGAGCGTTGACATTCAGCGTTCCATAACCACCTCTCGTTCTTTTTCAACAAACGAGAGAGGTGTACAGTCATCTCGGCGTAATTGCGTGAATACTTATGCAAATACGCCGCTAGCCCAAGGAATTTTCGAAGACCTTTGACATCGACCGGCACGGGCCAGTCGGTGATCGCCTTGATCTTTTCGGGATCAGGACGTACACCGTTCTTACCAACGATGCACCCAAGAAGTGGTATTTCGCTTGCTGCAAATATACACTTCTTGAGGTTTGCATACAAATTGATGCTTTCGCATGATTGTAAGAACTTGTCGGACGTGGTACCTGTGAACCTCAACGTCCGACTTTCCATCCATAGCTCGACTATGGATGAATACGTCATCGAAATAACTCGGCGCGAATTCTCGTATTGGCCTCAACAGATGTGATACACACCTGTTGAACGTGGCAGGGGCATTACTGAGCCCTTGTGGCATTACTAGCCATTCCCAGAGCATGCCGCTAGGCGTGCTAACTGCGGTATAGGGTATATCCTGTTCCGCATTAGGATTTGATAGAAGCCATCCATCAAATCCATGGACGAAAAGATGGTACTCTTTGACATACCATCAATGATTACGTCCTTCCTCGGTATCGGCGTCTGAGCCGGTACCGTTGCAGCGTTCAATTTGTTAAACGCGTGCACTATCCGCCACCCTCCTGTTGCTTTTCGCACACAGAAGGTCGGAGAGCTATGTGGGGAAGTTGATTCCCTCACATGGCCTGCTGCTAAACGATCGGCAAAGAACTTGTCGATCGCAAGTACTTGTTCACGAGGCAGTGGCCACTGCTTCATGACACAGTACTTCGAGCCTGGTTTAAGCTCGACTTCGTGTCGAATACCTTTATCCTTCGGTAATTCGCACGGAACAGTTTCAGGGAATACATCCTTGAATTCAACCAAATCCTCATAGAGAGGGTTTTCCTTGAGCGATTCCCATGATTGGGACTCATATCGCTCAATTCGTGTCTTTCATCTAGGACACTCTCGTCCATAGATGAACTACTGAGAACTCTCTCGTTCTCAGTAAACACTGTTGCTGACCTTATGTCGGTTACATACTCGTCGTCAGCGACGAGTATGCAGATCTGCTTGACTTTGCCACTACGCAGATCACGCAAGAACCTTTTATGTTCGAGCGTTGGCAACTGAGTGATCTCCGAAGTTAACTTCGGAGGCGCAATCAGATCAAGTGTATAAGCGCCTACACATGATCCGTTATTGACTATGACATTCAATGTCTCTGTCATTTCCTGGGGACTTATTCCCTCAGGCTTCGAAGGACTTATTCCTTCGTCTTCCCGGGGACTTATTCCCGCGGGTTTCGGGGAACTTATTTCCGCCGTATTTGTAATCTTGGGACTTATTCCCTTTACTTCCTCTAGCTGGGGTTGCGCAACCACAGCGAGATCCTCTACGAAAGACTCTCCAGTCGATCTAGGATTATCGTTTCGCTTAACCTGAGCGATCGATTGTTTCTCTTCTAGATGTTCCCCTCTAGGGATACATCTTTGTCCCAGTCCACCCGACTTATTCGAGTGGTGGACCTTCGGCGCAGCCTGTGTTTCCTCACAGCCGCCGGAACTTTGCTCCGAAGTGTAACCGTTTGGTACACTAAGGTTTTGTGCAGTCGTACTAACGACCGTACCACAAGTGAGGCCATCGCACTCACTCGTAGTACATCCACACGCTTGTGGACGCTCCAAAACGTTCATCAGATGGCCATCTGATGAACAAGCGGCAGGCATCGTTACTGTCCGATGTTGCCAGTTTACCCGTGGTTCGTACCTTCTGAGCCACGGTATTCCAAGGATGACATCAAATTTGTCATCCAAATCCAATACGATAAAGTCATCGTCGTATTGGGTATCTTCTAGCGTATAGTGAATCTTCACTATACGCTTCATGACGGTTACGGATGCGCCTGTCGCAAGACGTACCGTCATCCTCGTAGGAGGTGTGTCACATTCACTGAATTTAAAGTGACCATCTTCTAGCGATTGGCGTCGCACAAAATTGTTGGACGCCCCACAATCGACTAGAGCTCGAAGGGACAACTTATTCGTCACTTCGAGTTTCAAGGTAATGAGTGAGATCTCATTACCTAGAGCAGCAACGCACAATGTCTGTGTGTTGGGAGCAACCTTCATCAAGAGGCCTACAAATTCTCTTGACGTTGCTGGATCAGTAGGGTGCTCCGCACCTACTGATCCTGTCCGTTTTTTGACGGTCCATCCCGTTGTTGCGTCTTTGCACCAACTGCGGACCCTCGTCCCTGCCCCTTTCTCATGGGTGGACGGTCACTACGCCCAGTGTCGCGAGACACTGGACGAGGGGCACTACACTCGTAAGCGTAGTGTCCTGTCTTCTGACATCTGTTGCATCTCTGCAACTTCTTGTAGCCTGTAGAGCGAACCTTCTCGCTCTCTACATAACAGAGTTCCATCGGCTCTGACCTCTGCTGTCATATCGTCTCGGTTGACGATATGATGTCGAGCTGGCGCGAGCCTGTCTCAGACTGAAGTCTTCCTGCTCCGCAATGGAAATGGCTTGTTCTAGTGAATCTAGTTCAAGCCGGAACAGGTGAGTCTTGACGGGACCATCCGCAAGACCCTGCATGAACACCGAAACCAACGTGTGTTCATCCACCGGATTGGAACTTATACAACTCGTGAGATGTCGTATATGTTGAGCGTAAGCGTGCACATCACGCTTACCCTGCTTGAGCTTCAAGAGTTCGGTTCGAGCTCTGAACTCAGCTCTAGGCGGTTCAAACGTTTGTCTGAGCCGCGACTTGAAGACTTCCAACGACCCAAACGCATATGGGTCGTGCAGCTTGAGCCCCAGTGCCCAAGTCTTGGCACGTCCTGCCAGATTTGACTGGGCAAATGCAACTTGCATATCCCCGTCGTCGATGCGACGCGCCCTTATGGCGTCATCCAATTCGACGAACCATCTCAAGAGGGAGTCTTCTTCGACCCCCTATACTTTGAGATGTCAATCTTCAAAGTCTCGGGTCGACGCGAGTGCATCGACCCGCCAGCAGCAGCTTGCTGCTGTCTCAACAGTTCAAACTGTTGAGCACCTTGTTCTCTCAACAACTCTGCTTGTTGAGAACCTTGTTGGTGAAGCAAGGCTACTTTCTCGCGTTCTGCGTCAAGTTCATTTTGAATGAACTTGGCGATAGTAGCATGTTGGGCATCTCTATTGAGAGCCTCTAGCATGACGCTAACAGCATGGATGCCCATGGTCGAACCCATTCGTTCAACCGCATCCCATTCGACATCGCTCAAATGGGAGTAGCCGTCACGCGTAGCGTGAAAGCTTTGGTCATCTTTCATCATCCAACATATTCATGTTGGATGTGAACGCGGTCCTTGGACGGACTACGAAGTGCTACCAGGTGTAACGGGGCACCCTGAAGCTTGTACTGGTGACAGTACAAGCTACTTATTCTGATAACAGAATAAGGCGGTGCCTCGTAACTTCACGTACACTCGTACGTGCAGAGGAAGACGGTAAGAAGAAGCGAGTACTCGGTTAGAGTAAAAGTAGAACTGTATTTATAATAGTTAATGTCTGCAATAAATCACTATTTATCTTCATCTAACTATGTCTAAATACAAATGTGTAAATCAGTTATCTGCTCACCACTCATTGCGTGCGTCTGTCGTGGCGCGTCTTCGTTGGTTGATATAATGGCCTATATCAACCAATTAGGAACTACTTGGAAGTGCTACAGAATATTGTCCTTATGACAATATTCTGAGAATATAACTCTTATAGTTATATTCTATTAACAATTTCTTATAAATTGTTATGTAACGATTCACCCCGTTACAGTTAGCTTTTAAATAAATGGGGTGATAAATATTGGTATATTTACACTAAATCGTGGAAAAGATCCATCTTTACGCATCTAAACAACCTTGGCTTTGAAACCTTCCTCTATATCGTTCCACGACCTGTTGCCAATAGTGACGAGAGTATACTTCTTTCAATGCATCAAAAATGGCCGTTCTGGCATTCGTTTGCATATGATGTTGACCAGGCGGTTAATTTCTGAATAAGTCTGCTACAGAAAATCACAAGATCATGCAAGCATCCTAACTTTTAGTTCCACAATCTTGAAATGCCATAGGCCAATTGTGGGGTCATTTGTCCCGCTTTCCCTGCTTATAGCAGAGAAAAACGCGCTTAATACCTACTTTATTGATGCAAAGATGCTGACAACAAATCATTAGCGCACTTATTAATGTTTGACGGCCGCTACAGCTACCTCCTGGCTCCTAAAGGGCCTATTCGGTACTATTTCTAAACTTCTTCGACAAAGCTGTATAGTCTTTTGCAGGACAAATATTGTGTACATAGGCAGAAGCTGGTTTATCAGAGGAAACCGATGTAAATTTACCTAAACAACGGAAAAGTGAAAGGTTTAAATGAAGATAAAAAAATAGCGACTATGCCGCTTACAAACATGCGCTTTTATACTAATTAAACCTGGTCAATTGAAGTATGATTCTTGGTTATCATAGGTACAATTATTATTTGCAGTCACCCTTACTGTATTGACAATAGTAGTAGTGGATCTGAAGATCGCTTAAATGTAGCTTGATAAGCTGCCGCAATCCACTTCTTTCATTCATCAATGACCGGTAGTTGAGATTTTGCTTAAGTGCAAATCCAACACCATATGAAATGAAATAATTGCAAAAACCCGCACCAGTTGCATAACCAGTACCACGTCCTGATCGAACTGATGTGTTCCGCTCTAATTATGGTCATGGACCGATTCATATGAGTTTTTACGCGCCAACAACAAACAAACTTAAAAATCGTTGTTACTCCCTCACCTTTTTGTTTTCCAGCCTTGACCCCTCAAAAGAGCCTCTGATTGCTATCCTTGCATAAGCGTAGCAAGCACTACACTTGGTGGCGTACCTGTCGAATGTGTCAAGGCGCGGTCAACGGTGTGCTCGTGGCCCTCTTGGTCTTTCCTTCTCTCCTTTGGACGTCCCTCTTGTCGACACCAGAGGTCTTCCACCAGTCAATCCGTATACTTTGGTCCAAATCACCCGCGGACATTGCAGTGGGATCCGAAGCCGATTATTACAACAATCAGGATGAAGAAGGAGTGAAAGACGTGGCTTTTGAATCTGGGGACGTGACGAAGGACGCCGGAGTCAATTTGAGGCTTTCCGAGACCACGTCAATTTTGCCGCTGGGACTACGACTGCGCAGTCACTGGTAGCAGGCATTTGTATTTTTGGGATCTGTTCCCATTGCTGGACCCACGTCAGCGATAATTCTCAAGTCAGGTTCACAAGGAAAGTATATGGGACGATTGCAGTGGGCGGGGCCATAGCCGAAGCGTTACGAGAGAAAAAAATGTGAGCTTAATAGATGTGGCCGTTGACTGAGCGACTGACAGACTAAATCCCATGATGTTGCGTTTATTGCTATTTCTGGAATTACTATTTATTGCTGTTGCTAAAATTGTGCAGACCTACGTTATTGTCGCGTTCTGGAGGTTTGACAGCTTTTTGGCTGGAGCCAAGTTTTTACTACCAGTGTCCAAGTACGTGGATGTGACTGAAAAATATATGAGGTGCAAAGACTGACTGCTGGTGAGCTAATGTAGTGGTGCACTTAATGCAAGAGGCCGCAAGATCATGCTGTAACATCCACCGATGTAGAGAGTTACAAGGTATAGACTCGAATTGGAAAGTGAACGGAGCGCCGATAGCTATGAACGACCCTGATTGCAAAGTTTCAAGTGTTTCAACTGTGAACACCGTATAACCAGGTACGCTAGAGCGTTGTCTGTAATACTACTTTGCATACATCCAAACTGGTAACTTTTTGAAACATCCAACGATAATAAAATTGGACAATGGCCTCCAAGATCCATTAGATACTCGTCTGTAAGTTTTCTCTCTCCACTAACTAGCAGCGTTTCGAGCTTAATGCAATGAGTGGCAATTCAGGCGACTGCACATGAAGTTGAAGTAGGTGAGCTCTTGATCTTGATCACTCGCAGATTGTCGCACCTTCGAGTGAGCGTTTAGAATCCATCTCCTGATATTTGTGGGCAATAATTAAAGTTGATCCTGCCCAGTGATTGCGGGCTGAGATCACCCATGGGTAAAGTAGCTTCCGTTTGTCTGAGGGAATCGACAGCGTGCACTTCAATCAACTGATTGCGTGAGGACTGAATTATAGCCACAATGTCACGGTCCGAAAGCTATTTACAGCCGGAGACCTGCAAGTGCGTCAGACTGGAAAACTGCGGGGCCCAGGGTGATAAAGATCCTATCTGGATGTTGCACCCAACGAGCGTCAGTCTCTTCACCTGTGGCGCTGTGGCGCATCGCAGATAGATTAATTAGCGTGGACGCGCACTGACTCCTTGGTTTCAAGTGGTTATGTTACACTTGGTTCTAGTAGCTCGCAGTTGCCAGCGTCCTTCTCAAAGATCCACTTACGTGCTCTAGGGCAAGCACACCGTCCGATGAGAGATCGGATAGGAGCTCATAGACGGCACAGTTTGACTGAAAAATGGCGTTGACCATCTTTGTGGTGATTTTGACATTCGGACGGGTGGGTTACCACAGAAGGTGAAATACTGGGGCCATCATCGACCTTCATGTGGCCTGCCGCGGCTGGGAGGGATAGTCGATGTTAAATAAATACGACGGATGATAGGTGAGATTAATAACAAGGATTATCAGTGTGGTTTACTAGTAAGAAAGATGTTTAGGAAGGAAGTATAAGGTTGTTGTTTTAAAAGTGTTAAGTTTGAGTATCAATTTATCAATTAGCATCCTGACCAATCGTAGGCTCTAATTTGAGGGTAAGGGCTATTTAACGAAATAGGGGATAATAACATTTCCCTAGAAATTGATACAATTTGACTAGTGTTGCATTGAGTTGTCCGGTGAAAGGGCATTAATCAACCTAGGCGCAATTTATGGTGCCACTGAACTGGTTCTAAAACAGTTATTCCAGACCGGTGCTGCCGCAACAATATTGATGAAATACTTTTGCTTTGAGCAGAACAGGCAGTGCAAGGTGAAAAAAGCGGCGAAAACAGTAACACTTATGCATGCCCACAGGAAGGTTCCCATGGGAGGTTTGCGGGACAAAGCGAGATAGATTGGGTCTTCAGAACTCTATGTTTCGACACTTTAAATTAGCCATGCTCATGATTGCATGGCCATCACCAAAACATCAGCTAGGAAAATTCGGCTGCTGCCAACATATTAGGAAGCTGTCCAAGGAAAAAGGATTATTAAGCGCAATGTAGTTGTGGCGCTTGTCCAATTTCGTGAAGGAAATAATCTCCAGCAATGTAGTGCTAAGGTTTACAGAGCTAGTAAAGCGGTTGTAAAATAGATGGACGGGCAGTGCCAAGCATCTTTCTCGCTTTTGGCCCCTTACTTGGTAAAATTGAGGCGCCTAGAATAAGATACCACTGTTGCACTTGAATTAGACCAAGACAACCGCTTCTTTCGATTTTTTGTGACCTTCGGTGCGTCCATCAGTAGCCACCGCTATAAATTGCCTCTGGCTGGCTTCGATGGTAAGCATTCGCGCCATACTAAATGCAATAGCGTGATACTTTTACTTTTTGGACAAGATGGAAACGACCATAATGACACGCTAGCAACAGCGTTTTTGCATGTTAAAAAAAGGACAACATGGTGTGGCTTTTTCTTCACTGCATTGAAGCCAAGATTGATCTCGTCAATTTGGCAGTAATGTGCAGCCGTGGACACATACAAGTGCTGTAAAGCCATTTTGGTAGGGAAGGGAGTAAGTTTCCAGATTACATTTTGTACAATTCACATCATGCGCTACATCAGAAGAAATTTCGGCTTTGATGGGACTAAATTTGAGAGTATTGTGTGAAAATTTCAGACTACAGAGGCTGAAACTGACTTAAATGCTACGCTTTCAGCACTGCGGACCAAGTTTGAAAGTGATGTCGCCGATTACATTCAAGCTTTTGAACCATCTATTGGACAGTGTATGCCAATATGCGGCTGTACGCTGGTATTACAGGTATAAGCCACAGTATAAAGACGAGTTCAGACACAAGCGGGGTCACATGCACGCGCCAACACGATACTTTCGAACCGTCAATGACAATATTTTCGCTCTTTGGGTGGTGTACAACTACCTTTGTGGAGAGTGACAAACTCGCTTTACCAGCCAAAAAATTTTACGATGCAGCCCCTCTTAAGGCAGTCAATTTGTGACGAAGGCCGTTATGGACAAGTTCAGTATGCTTCAAGATGAGATAAAAAAGGGTTATGTGCAAAAGCTTACATCAACACCTCATGCTCGATCGCTTTGAAAATCCGAGCAGGCTGTGCGGGCAACTATGAAGATTCTCGATCGTCGCCTAGTGTTTGGTTCGCAACCAAACAATTTTTTTTATACAGGCGGGTCGAACTTATAGCTACAAAATGCTCGTGTTCAACCTTTACTCATATGGGTTGCCGTGCCGTCACCTCGTCGCTGTACTTCATGCTGTTAAGTCTACAATTGATGTAGCTTCTATTTTCCATCTATCCTAACTTGTAAATACATTTCAGCATTGCTACATGAGAAAGGCAATTGAAGTGGCTGTCACTACGCGGACCCCTTCAGTATCTGTCGACCCATCAGCGTACTATAAGGAAGCTGGAAGCCAGTGAAAAAAGGATCGCAAGTTCAGGGGACTCAAATCAAGGGCCGAATTGGAATGCCGCTCCTGTACGCATGGTAGCACAATAGGACAAAATGTCGTCCTTATGGGAGCTTTGTTTTTCTTAACATAAGAAATTTGCAAAGGTAGTTGACCTGGGTGGTGTGTCTGAAACGCCGCCCTTTGTCACGATGGCGACCCAGAGAATGACACCCTTCCAACCAAGACCCACAAGCGAGAATCTATTCCACTTTTCTGAACTAGCTGCAGCTCAAAGCTCTTGATAACGTTGTATTTATCATAAATTATTGGAGTAAGAGAAGATCGTGTAGATTACAAAGCTAAACGCTTTTATTTACACGTTGGTGCCTATTCCTGTACGACAAACCTGGTATTTGCTCATGACCAATGATTACGTTGGCGTATCATCACTATTTCCGTGCAATGCTGATTGTAAAAAAGCATTGCATGTGTCCCGCTAATTTAATACTCACACGCAATGCGAGCGCTTATTGCTCTTTTGCGCACGATCGTCGCAGAAATGGCGCGTGTAGTGTGCGTGATCACACTAACCTCTTGTACAGCCCGTTAAACGCACATGCACAACTACTGGATCATCTAAGTATTTTTTTTGTGATGCACTAGTCTTGACATGGCTCCATCACCTGTAAAGCGCATGAAAAGTAGTCGATAGAAGCAAATACACGATACATACAACATCCTTGTTCCACACACACGTCATTCATGTACAGTGATAATAGTATCGATAGCATACCACAACAGTAAGGTCTCATATATGCGGTATCTTCGGCTTCGAATACCTTTGAATACTATCGCGCATGACTTGGATATGATCAAAAATTTATGTCGCACCGTAACATGTTACGGTTGTCAATAATTTAAAAACCTAGTTGCAGCATATTGGTACCTTACCGTCATTTCCTATGCTTCGCCCCCTCCGATCTTCTCTTCGCATATAAAGCGACCGAGGCCTGCACGAAATTCCCCAAATGAGTTCGGGTCAAGCTAGGGTGACTTATGACGAAAGTGGGTGGCCATGGGAGAGGGGGTGGAACGTTTTGACTGGATACTGCAAATCGAGGAATGAAATGATAAGAAATGGAAAGAATAATTAGCGTGGTACACTTTGACCTTGTGCTAAAGTGGTGCAGGTTTTGCAACTGGTGTGGTTTTCCAGTGTTTGATTTTTATCTAGTGCTGGATTTTACGATTTAAGGCGATGCCTAAATATTAGAATAAACAAGAGTGTCACTTCCGTCCAATGGATAACAATTTAACATATCATACGACTAAATTCTTCGTCAATTGAACCACGCGCCGTTTTCTTGGATAGTATAGGACCATGGGTAACCATATGAGCCCAAACTTAGTCAGTCATTAGAATCACATGTCGCACAATGAGTCCTCCGTCCGTATCATAGGTCGCATACCATGTTCTTCATTTGCATGACCACCCGCGCAATCCTTGTCCAGTTCTAATCATATTCCGACGAGAGGAAGAATGATGCAGGCACGGTAAATTTGGTACTTAATAGTCT